TAGGTTACCCTGAATTGTGTGCACTTCTGATTTTAGGACTAATCAGAAAATGTCCGATAGTCGGCCATCTTAAATTACTGGTGCATTAACTCCTCATTGCCAGTGTTCTGTTTATCATCCCTATTAGAAAGTAACAACAGTTTTTCATTCTTTAGACGTTCCGTTTAGATATTCTAGATACATCATATCCAGGCAACGCTAGTTACAGTATGACTTGTTTTCTATCCTTGTATTTGACTTCAAATCAGAAAGGGCGTTAGCACATGTGCTTACTCTAATATCGATCTAGACACAATGGTTCACAATTAAAAGTTGTATTTTTTTATTCAAATCTGCAAGAAATGTGGTAAACTGACAAAAGTATCTGCTTATAGAAATTGTACATAACATTCGTTTTACGACTCAGTAGGCACTATATTTGTTGCAAAAACATTTTCGGAGCCTCATCACGTGAAATCTTTTATCATTATGATATAGAAAACCGATTAAATTCAGACAAACATAAGCATATGTTGTAAATGAGCTTGTAATTATTTATTGATTTCCAAGTTCAATCTCCGGAACGAAAGGGAAGTTTCCAATAGAATTTAAAGACTATATCGTTTCAGTGTTATCGTTTGACTCTACATTGGAAAGTATTCTAAAAATTCTAAACACATGCATGAAAACAAAGGTATGGGAAAAAATGCAAAAATGATGATTATTGAGAAACAAATTTAAACTGAATTCCTTTCAAAAATATCAAAAGTACATATGTTGATAGTAATATACCAGAGATTGTATAAGCCAAGTTAGACAATTTAGTTTTGAATATCCGGAGAATAACAGATAACATCGGTCTGTCGTTGTGGTGATGGAAATGTAGATGTTGTCTGCTCGTAATTTTCTAATGTGCGATCCCTCTCGAATATTGATAAAATGCAAACATTTTTAGATCTGTGCAAATCTATATAAGATCAAGAAAGAGATTTTGATGCCGATGTGTAACAATAATTGTACATTTGTATTGTCATGATTCTAATGTCATTTAAAATATATATTGGGTATTAGGCGTTGATAAGTTGCAATAACTTGTGCATAATCCTTTGTCTATCTTTTGGCAATAAATATGTTTAAAGTAAACTATTGATAACCGGCTTATCCTGATCTTGGTACTCTTCTTCGGGGAAATGATATTTCGTATCAAACAAATGTTGATATTATTATTCTGTTTTGTCCTTCATAAAATCTACAAAGAGATTTGAAACCACTTAGTGGAGAACCATTACATTCGGGACGTCTCTTTTTTATCCTCCTTTTCGCCATTTGTTTCATTTCGATTCCTTCTTCCTTTTTGTCCCTACTGTCCAATAATTCTAATGAGTTCGCGTTACATCTTTTGTCATCACATGAAAAGTGTACCGACTGTATAGTGCTTTGTCGGAAGAGGGCCTAGTCAGTTGCTAGAACCTGTGCCCAATCCCTCTGAATTAACATCTATAAAATACGAATGAATGCATGAATGAATGAATGAATGAATGCATAAATGAAAATAACAGATGAAAACACGATAAAAAGTGGGTCAAAAATTGAACCCACCACATTATGGGGGGTAACAGTTCTAAAAATTAAAAATACACCTTCCTACAGCAGTCAATTTGGGGATATGACACAAGAACCTTTCTGGATAGTGTACAATCTACTGCCAAAGGCTGGTAAATATGAATTTTGTACAAAGAAATCTGGTGTGTTTTTCTACAATGGTGAGGGTTACATTGGAATGATGACCAAAAACACGAAACAAATTCTCGGTACCGCTCTTTTCCGATATACTGCCAAATCTAATCTTTTGTATAAAGCGTTAACATCAGACAGAAATCATGATTCAATACCAGACTGGACGGGCATAGGTAACAAAATATTTCCCTCTAATACGATGGAGCTTAACAATTAAACATATTCATATTTCCCTCTAATACGATGGAGCTTAACAATGAAACATATTCATATTTCCCTCTAATACGATGGAGCTTAACAATGAAACATATTTATATTTCCCTCTAATACGATGGAGCTTAACAATTGCACATATTTATATTTCCCTCTAATACGATGGAGCTTAACAATTGCACATATTCATATTTCACTATTATACTGGCCGATACTAAGAAATCACAATGAAATGGATATACTTTTACTTACATCTGGAGTTTAAAACTGATCAATCATGCACATGTTTTACTGGAAACTACAGTATTGGCATCTTAATACCTCTGACCCGTGTCGACTCGCAGTTAAAATGTTTGGTAAAACCACATATTTAAATATAGGTATTTAGATATGTAAAAATGATCGTAATTGAATTTAAAATGTCTCATGGTTTCCTGATATCAGTTGAAGTTGCATACATGGTGGTGTGATGATTTTTGTTTAAATGTTATAAAAAATCAACTTCCTCTTGACGAGAATACGGCCCAGAAAATTCACTGCTAAAGTAAATGTTTCACAGTTACAAATGTAAATAGCACTGTTACTTTGAATGCATGTCGTTGTCTGCACAAATTATGGTATTACATCGTTTTAGTCCGCCATCGACTACGGTCACACGTTCATCCTTAAAAAATTGCTAACGCTATTTAAGAAATACAGGGTAGATCAAATTGTCCAGTTTTTGACTGATAGGAAGATAATTTGCGCACTGGTTATAGTTATCGCTCGTTCTGAAGGGATGTTTGCCAACTTATGTAGGCTACCTTGCAAAAACACTTACTGCCAAATGTTCAGATAAATTTATCGGATGATAGAAGTGAAAAGAAGGGAATATATCAAACTATCAAAATAAAGATGGCGACCTATATCCCTGTAGGATTCCTTTTTTAAAATTGATGCCTGAAAAATTAACGGTATGCCATTTTTTTTATCATTTTAGAACCATGAAGTTGATGTCTGCGTTACTGCCGATCGTTATGTGTCTGATGGTATTGTTTGAAGGACATGTTACACGGCATCTGGAACATGCCGTTCAGTTACAGCAAACTGATTTTGACGGAACTGGGCGTGATGTCAGGGCCCCCAGAGTGTCCAGGGCTGCGGGGAAAAATAACTTACTTCTACAAAATAATACCATGCTGCACGAACAGACAGAAGAAAATAAACATGTACTCACATAACACGTACATAAACGTGCATAATAAGTCCGACATGTGACGTAAAAGAAATAAATGAATTCCAAGTAAAAAGTATGACTTTCATCTTGATTCAAACAAAACATTTTGAAACTTATATAATGTCGAATCATTTATTTTCATGGTAGTTTTTTTTCATTTAATTTTGTGGGTTCTCTATACCCTCGAACTCATATGTTCACAGATTTTTTTTAGTATAAGTACATCTTTTTGAACTATGTTTATCTACAAAATCAACTGTCACCGAAAATAATATTTTAACATGAAACTTAAGCTCCACGTAAATACAGTTTGACACAAGCAAAGTATAAGTGTCCTGTGTTCAAGAAAAAGATGCCTAATGGGCCTGCATGTTCACTGGCACTCCGTGTTTGTTAAAAATAGAATAAGTGTTTATCACAAATACATTAACATTTGCACCATTCTCATTCAAAGTGGACACATCCAACAGTTACATGGAATTTCGACAACAAACAGCTTCTAATATTCAACTCTTATCAGTGTCAGTTATAACCTGTTTTATAGGTAAATATCATTTGTTTTTTTCTTTGTTTTCACTATAATTTTTTTCAGGCTTTGGCCTAATAAAACCTTTCCAGCAAATATTCTTCTTTTCGAACTTTTGATTTACCTAAAGAAGTATATTACAAGTTTTGACAATTTGACCCCTGTGACCTTGAATATGGTTCAAGGTTTTGTATTATTTAACAAAAATTTTCGGGTTCATCCCAGAGATTTATCAGTCAAATATCATGCTTCGGTGTCATTTTGTTAGTCAGAAGTTGTTTTAAGGTTTTAACAAAGTCGACATATGTGTCCTTGAAGCAGTGTCAAGGTCATTTCCTTCCGCAAATGTTGTCGGACTTCATTTGCTAAACCTATCAGGCAAACCATGAAATACCACGCTTCTGGACTGTTTGGGAAGTCGTTTTAATGTTTTAACAAATTCAACCCCTGTGACTTTAAAAAATGGACATGGTGGTTTCTTTTCATACCCTTTGAATAAGGAGAATTTCTTTTTAAAACCCTTGACTGGCTATATCCTAGGATTGTTTAAACCAAATATTCATGTTTCTGCACCTCTTTGTTATCGTCAAAAAAAGTTGTAAGAAAACTTTAACAAATCTGATTCCTGTGGACTTAAATAAGGGTCAAGGTGACTTCTTCTCACATACTTCGTTGGGTATCATCCAATGAACCTATTAGTCAAATAACATGATTCTAGGCATTTTGGGTAGTCAGGAGATGTCATTTGAACAATGAAACAAATTTGACCGTGACCTTAAATTTTGGTCAATTTTTTTTTTTCACAAACTTTCTCATGCTTCATCCTGGGACTTTTAAAGCTAGATACCATGCTTCTTCACCTTTCAAGTAAAAAAAACGTCATTTAGTGGTTTTGACAAATTTTACCTCGATTATGTTTCAAAGTAATTTCTTTTTGGAAACTTTTTAGACTTCATACTTCAAGCCAAATACCATGATTCTTGGCCATTAGTTGTTTTACAAGCTTTTAACAAATTTAACCACTGTGACCTTGAATAGGGGTTAAGGTAATTTCTTTTCCAAACTTTGTCAGGCTTGATCCTAGCAATCTTCCAGCCAAAAATGTTGACGTTTGGTCAGATGATTATTGCGCCTTTCAGGCCATGTGAGCTACCTAGTGATACCGGGAGTCATGTGACCAGTAACCCAATACCAGATTTAGATTGAATCCCAACTACTGAGCCATGCGAGTCGGAATTAAAAGGAAATGTACAATATGTTTAAGGCATATTAACCAAGTATAACAATTTCCACCCAACAAATGCAAACAAAAACAGTGAAATTAAGATATGTCAATTTTGAATTTTATTTCTCAATTTATGAAAGAGAAAAAAATAAACATGATTTATTATCTTTAAGATTATATATATCATTTAGATAAAAGATATATATCTATGAAATAAAATATTCCTGCACAAAAAGAACTCAACTACTACTTTAAGAGGTTTATATGACAATACAGAAGGACTTTTAATCTCTCCCTCTCATACCAAACACTGTAAACCTCAAATCTTGTATGGTTTTGTCAGGTTATAAACATCATTTTAATATCCACATCATGAATCATAATACTGTGCTAGTCTTTTTTACTCTAGTATCAAGTTATTTCCTATTTTCACCATGAATTTGCTTGGCGTATCTTGAGCAAGCTATTTTTAAATTAAAGAATTACCCTATAGTTTTTTTTCCTAAAAGCCAAAAAATTTACATGCTAAAAATTAGATATTAACATTTTGACAACAAATGCGGTAATTTACACCTGTCAAATTAATCTTTAATATTTTTTTCTATTTTTTCTCTCAGAGGAACATGTATAAATCACATAACTTCTGATTGTAAAGTTTGTGATATATCGGGTGTTCTGTGTTCTATAGCTGTTACAGAATAAAGAATATCTTCAAGTCAACATGGAGGATACAAGTTTAGCTTAATTATAAAGACAATGAATTATTGTATTGACAGTTCTTTTCGTATGCAGAAATGAATTGCTAAAATTTCATCCTTGAAATAATGACTTGCTTGTTTAAGATGTCTTTTTACATCCAGAGTATGAAATTTGAATTCGTTGAAATACAACTTGATCCTTTTAAAATTAAATTGCATTAAGTTTGACCGGCAAAAATCCCCAGTTATAGGGTATCACCCATGCCCTGGGGCAATCCATAGTACATTTATCATCTACAGAACAATGCAATAATGACACAGAGATCTGTAGGAACATTCAATCTCTTGATAAACTTCAAATGACAAACACAATTATGCAAGTCATTCTTTCATTCACACAGTTGACAATTTGCTGGACAACCACATACATTGATGCTAAGTATAATCAATCCAAGATAAGTTTCTGTAGTCTCTAAAGAAAATCAGGGTATCTGACTAGGAAAGGGCAGCGGTATAAACCCTTGGATTCTAACTAATAAAGAGTCACAGCTTTAACTCTTGTAGTCATGACATCAAAGGTCCACAGGTCAAATCCTAGTAATTTGACCAACATTCTGACTATCAAGGTCCCACAGGGCAAACCCTCAAATTCCTCACAAACAAGAACTCAATACTGAAACCCAAGAAATCCAGACTTACAACAGCCTACAGCTCAAACCATAGAAATCCTATGCAAGACTACATTTTAATATAAGGACTTACTGAACTCAAGAGTTCATTGCAACCACCAACTGAGATATATAAATATATATCAATGTCTGTCCTTCATGATAAAACATAAAAAAAGTAAAAAGTCAACAAAATATTCAATTATTAACAAAGTCTCATTGAAACTTAAACAAAATTTACCAAATTGTCCCAACATAACCAAGATCTCTTATACATACCACTGTCTAGTTGTTATTGGAAGCAAAAACAACACAATTTAATCGAACAAATTTTAAATATACTCATTTACTGTTTTCCAGGCACAAAAGAGTTCTCTAGACCTGACTATAATAAAATCAAACTTCAACAAATACTTAACATCACAATCTTAACAAATACTTTTAACAAATTTGATTAGGTTTGCCCTTTCATACGCTTACAGTCAGAGCTACATCTTTGGAACATTTCACAGATCTGTTTAAATTTTCTATCTTAGATGTAAACAAAACACTGGACATAGAAGAGTAAATGCATTTACAACCAGTATACCTCACCAATATTGACTTATTTTTCAAATAAAAAAAAAAAATAACATCCTTATTTATTTATACATGTTTCCAAATCGAAAATTTTGTTCACTTGCTCGCTAATCATGACATAACATTTATTTATAAGTTGCCATCAAGAGAGAGTATGCATTTAGAAATTTGGTCCAAAATACACGTCCTAAAAATATTTGCATCTCTCTGTAACTTTGTCAAACTGATATTTGGAAAGATCATTCCTCCTATTTAAGTTAATAGTTCCCTTAAATTTTGTTCAGTTCATCCATCAATATCTAATATAATAAAATAGTATCCATTTTGAATTATCAACTAAACTGATTTGAATTAAAAAACCTAATATAATTTGAATTTGGTGGGTTCACAAAATTTTATTTAGAGAGTGGTCTAGTGTGACATCTTACACTTTAATACTTATAATAACTATCTAACTTCATACAATTATGTAGAACCATCAGCTTGAAGTTACATATTGTACACAAGCTCTGTATTATAGACACACCTACAGCCAAACAACCATTCATACACCTTAAGTTTGAATTTAATCAATAAAGATCAAATAATTTGAAATTAGAAAAAAAAGGAAACAACATCCTAATCACCAAACCAGGACAAAAGGACAACAAAACAGGTTGAAATACATCATGACATTTAAATGGGATTATAAGGTTTTTGTTTACTTAAAAAAAAGATAGTCACAGCAGTATTGAAGAATTATCTATCTTAATATCAAGTCATTCTTTGTATTAATGGATGAGAATTTATCACTAATTGAAGGTCCTTTAATACTCAAGAATCTTTCTAGACAAAATCAGATCATCTTCCAATTCAAAAAAATACAAACAAAAATTTCAGCTGAGTGTAAAAATGTTCTAATTTCTCGTTCAGAGACTTGTAATGAAACAAAAAACAAACAAAACCTGTACCAGCAACTGTTTGGCTACAGTGTACAATGATCTATATGGCCCCAAATCTGAAATGTTCATATTTGAATAAAAAGTGGATTTTTCTGAATGAAGTTCTATAATGATGAAAGAAAATCTTTTTAGAAAGTTTTGGTCCTTACAGGAACTGTAAAATCACATCTTTTCGTGGTAGGACTCATATTTCAAAATAAAGTAAAAAAAATCAATATCATACATATTTGATATCAATGACAAACATTACTCAATAAATCTGCTTATACAAATTTTAATAGTTTTGAAATTGATTTGTAGACATATTAATACATGGATGAAAAGAGAAATTTACGGAAATGAATCTCTCATGAAAATTAATGACTATACAGTAGCCATGGTTTTGATTTAGATCTTCTTTCAGGTTTAAAAAAAAGGGGGGAATACTAGAAGCATTAAAGTTCATCAGTATCAGGTTAACTAAAAATAACTCAATGCCACAGCTCATAAAAATAGACATTATATCAAATACCAAAATGTCTACAGGAGATACTAATCTTCCTCTGAGCACACTAAACAGAAGGGAGGTAATCTAGTCAGCCATGGTAGAAATGCAAACATTACCACACATACAACAGTAAATCTTTGGTCCTTTATGGATTTCACATCTATACACAATGTATATAAAGCTCTGTTACTTAAGTCCTTTAATCTGTCTTAAAAGTCACCTGTGTTTATAATCACTGTCTATACTGGTTTCAAGTCAAAGTCTAGAATTCAATTGATGGTTTAATAAACTTCTAATAATATCACCTGTCTATAAAGGTGACTTTTCTCCACTCCCTAAAGTGGTCTTTATAGATAGGTTCCACTGTCACGTAGAATCATACAACATTTATCCTACAATAAGCCCATGGAAAATATGATTTCTTGTGTCAGATGGTGGGCTTATCACTGGACAAGGTGATAGCATTAGTTTGATTTTAATTAACAATGTTTATGAGTTGGCTTAAAACCAGCCATAGACTTATTGCAATATTATCATGGTAATACAGAGCAACATTAAGAACAGGTTTAATTGGATTTGAGTAAAATGGTGTATAAAATTAACATAAAAATCACATCCTTCACTATTCCACCCACAGAGCGAAGAAATAATATAAAGTGTCATGAATGCTACCAGGAATTTTTTTCTATTAAAATTCTGCAATTTATATCTACATCATACAAATCTATACTACTTCCAAGCTATACCAGATGTCCTTATATGATCATAGCTGTTAATGATACAGTGTTCAAAAATATACATCTACGGTAAAATCAAGCCAGTGACAGATTTCACTTGCTTAACAACAAATTTACTGAATGTAACCTTCCATTAATTTACTTAATGACAATGATGTCAGTTTGAATCTCTGTCAGATATGCATTTTGTATTATCATAACTCTGTTTCACATCGGAGCCACAGATCTTCAAATTATTGATTTTATACAACACTCTAAACAAATTCAAGTTCAGATATACAGGGGCTAATATGTCCCAGTTGAGCAGGATTCCTACCATTTCCAGGGGCTATCTCTTCTATAAATCTGCATTTTTGAAATAAGATAACAATTACCAATAAATTCATGTGAATTTAAGTAACTATTTATTATATCAGACCTACATGTCCAAAAGTCTCTGACCATCAATCCATTTCATTTTTGTCTTGGTCGTGGTCGACCATGAACAAAGACAAAAACAAAATCGCTGATAGATTTTCAGAATCCTTCGTACTACAGTGCTATGTGATACTAAATATCTATTAATATGCAAAATACTGGATTTTAGGTAAAGTGCAGTATGTTATAAAGATCTGGTACTAATATCAACAGGATTTTGATCTAAAAATAGAAGGTAAGAAGAGCTCTGGTAAGTTAAAGATCTATTCCAACCAAGGGCTTTTGATTAGGGGTACCACATGTAGAATCTTATTGGTAACTGGTTTATAGGTTATAGACAGGGAGAAAATTAATGATAATTTCTGTATGTTAATTTATTCGTTTATAAAACTATATATATATATATATATGTCGAGGCTTTTTAAAGCAAGGCATGGAGCCAAATATAGACCTCGTTCCAATTAGAAAGAACAACATATTTTTCCCAATTCCAAGCATTTAAATATTAAATAGAACAGCACATGTTGTTCAACAAAAAAAATCTGGATGAGGCCACCCCATGTAATGAGGTTGAGTCCTGCGTGGATTAGAAAGATGTATCAGTGTTTAAGGAAAGTATAACTTGTGTTTTGCTATTTTTATTAATTTTGAGATTTTGTCACACATTTTTCTTCTAAATAAAAAAGATCTTTCCAAAAGTTCTGTAATGTAAGTTTGTTAAAATAAAGCAACTTTATAACCTAATATGTTTCACTTCATTCATATATTACGTTATATCCATAGCTGATGGAAAACAAGATGGAGATTTATTATTTGTATTTAGTGGGGGGAAAAAAGAGAGAAAAATCACTGATTAAAGGACACACAAAACATTTACTAAATTTTTGTCAAAATGACTGAATTTTTGTCCTAATTACTAAATGTTTGTCTAGATAACAAAATTTATGTAAAAAATTATCAAGTTCTGATAAAGAGGTGAGAATTACATCTTTAAGAACTGCTTTGTAAGGTAAGTAAAGTAGAAATCGTGACTTACTCATTAGATGGAGATAACAAACAGATAGCTGGTGAAGGTATATACTAAATAACATTTAAACCAAACAGATACACACATGGATCTCAAAACAGATATCCTGTCAACAGTGTCATATATATTTACACTTGTACATGATAAACATTAATCTTTTGCATACTAAAACATACTCGCATATTCTAAAAGAAAACAATGGTGCATGTTTGATATAACATATAGAAAGGTTTACATGGTACCTGTACAAAAATACATCAATCAACCACTTTTGTGAACTTACATTATACGGAAATGTATATTAAACACATGTACATCTTGTGTCAAGTTTGTGACATTCGCATACAGCTGTCGAATGACAACTAACGTAACTTCCTATATAACACATCAGATTTTGACCAAGGAAGCGACGTTACTCATTAAACTTGTATAACGCTGTAAAAATATAACTACAATGTAGAATGAATGTCTTGATTTTCTTGATTATTTGCAGTCTTTTTAAATTGTTCACTTTACTAGATACAAAAATAGGTTGCAACTCCGTAAGCTAGAAAAAATTATCGTCTAAAACATGTTGAAAAACATTTTAGTTTTTGTGATTTCATTTGGCACATGGACAAATTTTTCAACCTATCATTTGTGTATATACATACCTAGTATCTTTAAATTTCTACAAAGCATTATTGAAATTAGGAAGAGCCTACGTTACATAACTATAAATATCTTACTCCAAATCCACAAGACATGTGTACTAGGTATATGTTTGACGTTTGTTAATCATTGAATTGGTTTTACATCAGCTATTTATGACCTTTTCTGCCTTCCAACCTTCTAGAAAACAAGTGTGATCAAGTAAATGGATTTTTATACTTGTCTTTGTTTGAGTATTTATGAAAGTAGAACTCTAAATGAGGTTTCCATTCGTGATCATGTGTAATATTATGTTTAAATATGAGGATTTTTATCTCTCTTCAGTCATTAATATCTAACATTTCATTTCAGCTTTCTGGAAAATACATTACACTATCAGTCAATGACTTTCAGCTTATTGTAATAAATTCTCTCTCGAAAAATTGTTTAGGCTATCTATATAACTCATGTGTTACCAGGCAATGCCATAATTTCTTGATCATTTGTACTGTCTTCAGTCTCCAGCCTAAGATCATCTTTCATTTTCTCCACACGACGTTGAAATAACTCCCTGGCAAACTGATAAAGCTGCATGTCTAGATTATTGTACAGTTTAATCTTAGCCATAATTTCTTCAGTCAGGGGAAGTCTTTTCCTATGTGTAGCATTGTGCTGTTCAAAATCTTCAATGAATTTAAGGTTGAAAGTATGTTCAAAAAGATTTTGAGTATCTTTCTGAAACTCTGTAAGTCCAAAAAAAGAAAAGTTTTGGAGATTCTCGATGGCACTTTCTAACATTTTCTGGTCACGTTCTTCGTCTGTCAGTCCTGTTTTGTTGTAACAGTTGATCTTACTAAGATTAGCCAGCATGCGTGTCTGGCGGTTGTTCGCTAGATTATATTTACAGTCTAAAAAGTTGCCAAGATCAACATTTTCCCAGGTCTCGCCTTCATAACAAAATGGTACCTCCTCGAGGGTGGCTTGACGACCATTACAGAACAGACGTGCTGTTTTCCAGGTAGCACCACGCTGTACATGTTTGAACTCGCTCAAATATCGTCCAACGGGATCCCTGAGAATGGTGATGTAATGGTACCTGAAATGTACACAAACAATAAAGAAATTAAATGTTTTTATGATTTCAATGACCCTTATTGTCTTTGTTATGACTGATGTGTAATGTTACATAGCTGAGCTGTGATTGGCTAAAGGTTCCTGGTATATCTCCTATATGGTAACATAGCTTTTGAGTGAGAATATTGCCAATTCCAAATTTTACATCTTTTTATTTGTAAGATGATGAAATATTTTAGAGGTGTGAATTACTGATCAATAACATATGATATACAGAACCTTACTTTTGTTTCCATTTCATATGTAACAGAAGTACTCTTTATTTATATAATAGACAATATCTTTATTTATATAAAAGACAATATCTTTATTTATGTAATATGAGTTATCTTTATTTATAATGTAACTTATGATTTATTTTCATCCTAATTACAACCTCTGGCATAAATAATATGTGTACAACAAAATGAAATGTTTCCTAACCAAACTTTTGAATATTTAACTATTTTTTTTCTGTAAGGAGCAGAATTATTAAGAATGTTATATCATAACTAGTAGTACATGTAGTAGTGTAAAAACCATACTAAAGCTACCTACAATTTTTTCCACGATTTTGTGGTTAAAAAGAAGACACAGATGTATATGTTTTGGTATATGCTTATCATTTGAAAAATTGGTTAATAGTATTGCATTATAACTTGACCAACATGAAGTTTGACACAGTACCAGTATATATATACACAAGCTTTTAGTGCATAAGGCAATTTTCCAGGATTCTTGAATTTGAAACAGCATTTTTATTTCATATGTTTTGACCCTTCAGAATCATGAACTGATTTCTGATATTGCTAAATGTCAAAGGTCATTTGTAAGTGATGTACTACAAGCGACAGTGCATCACTTTCCTATTTGAAGAATTTTGGACTGATTTTGAAATTCTGATGTAATATTCTGAACTTCTAAAATAAATTATAGGTAAGTCTGGATGACATGGTAAGATATAATACATGTACATATTAGTGACACTAGAAAATATATTTTTTACACTATTTTGTTTTTTTAAATACTGTCATTATTGTAAATATACAAAAAACATTACTACTAACATGTTGATTAATTTAATATTACAAAACAATAGCATTCAGTATTCTTTTATCATTTTACTAAACAGCATAATATTTATGGGTGGGCTTATCATGTAGCCAGGGCGGACTTTCAGATAAATATGGTAACTCAGATTGTAGTAGCTAGCTCTAGACATACAATGTATTCATTCAGTCCACCTCAAAATGTATTAGACAAGCCGGTCACATTATCCACACTGTTGAGGGCACTTAAGACGCCTACTTAAATGTTCCTGCATATAATTGTCACAGCTAAGAAGCCCTAGCTAAGAACTTTGGTGAACTTCAATCAAGGGTGATTATAATATAAATTTGTTTCCCAATATAGACTATAAAAGGTTATATTTATATCTTACATATACTGTAGCTAGTTATAAATATCAAATCAAATCATTGATTTTTCTACTGTATCATTTTCACAATTGACTTATCAAATAAATTTTGTTAAATTATATGTAATGAAATTAAAATTACAAAAAAAATCCAATCATTATTATGTAACAAATTCCAGTCGTTGTTGTAATCATTTTTATCATCTTCAATTGTTTACAGTTAGAAATGTTCTTTGGTACATTGTATTAAGAATTATTTAAAGGAATTATTGTATCAATAAAATAAAATTGTAACAATACTTCATGTTTATACTTTTGATTGATCAACATAAACTGGTGTGATTGCACAGGGAATGTATGATGAAGCAGTTACTTTTGTTCTCCCACTTTTTACATTTTGACTATATGTAGTACCTGAATCATAAGTGTAAAAAAAATTCTGTTCAGCTTTATCTGGATTTATATAGTCCCTAATTATTCAACTCTATACAGTGGTCAATTTAATGTACTCAAATATTTCTTGGTGTACAAGTTGAACATAAATTTATCCTTTCAAAAGGAAGTGTATAATTGGAAGTTCATTTCTGGAAGTAAAAAACATGTTTTCTTTTTAGGTTTCAATTATATAGAACACCACGACAGGTTTGGAAATATTCATCTGAAGTGCTGGAGTACAAATTTATTCAGACATGCAGGAAAGATTTCATAAATGACATTATTGATAGAATTGAAAAGGTTGTCTGCAGCTGAAACTCATTCAGATAAAACCAATTGCTGTAAGTCATTGGTCAAGATGTCCAACCTTCGCTCTCTGTGGAGTCCTTCTTGCTTATCCATGGCCGTGTCAACACAGTTCTTCAGTTCTGTCCAGTCTGCATGCAAACCACAAGCCCAGCCTGTAGAATATCGACTAAACAGCCAAAGTGTTTTCTTCCTTGTTAAACACTCGCATTTCTTCATCGTTTTTCGACAAACACATGGTTTGCCAACATCAAGGTTTTTAACCAAGTGTCGACCAAAAGTGGTACCACCTGTTTTCTGAATATGTAAAAAAACTAAAACGTCTTCGTCATCTAAATCTAACTGATATTCTCTATCAACGATCTGCGATGGAAATGTATCGGGTACCAATTTAGAAATGTCAGATATTGTGCCGTCCGATTCCCTTTCATCGTTGTGTCTAGTGGATGAGAAAGAGCAAAAGTTGTTTTGACAAATGTATCCCATGTACAAAATTGTCAGGACAACAAAAATTATCACAACAAGGTAGGCTCGCCACCCCCTTCTAAACATTTTGACATGATTCTATCAATGATCGAACATAGAATAAAACTTTCCCGTGAAAATGAATTGTTGCAATATTCACATATTGATTCACGTGTCCTTTTCCCGTTAAATTATCTTCCAATTTCATAAAGTCTGTCACAGACAAAACACGGAGGTCGCCATTTTCTTTCCATTCGATGTCTCTCTAGATGTATCAAATGAGGAAAAACTTACCGAAAGAATAAAATTTGAAAGTTTACTTTTATTTATGTGTATTTTCTCGGGTGTCAACGCTGCTTTCTATGTCCTTTTACTCATACTAAATTAAGTATATAAAAAGCAAATATTTTAAACGATAAAGTGCAACTCTCATATTTACGTGAACTGGTTGAGATGGTGATAGCAGAAGCTTCAAAATGGACGCTTGGTTAAATGACAACGGCGCACTTGTCGAATACCCGGGTGTGGCAATTCCTCCAAGCAAAGATTTTTACCATATTTGCGTGACACCTAAAGAGGTTTGTTATTTTTCTGGTTTTAATCTAGTTTTCTTTGTCAGATATGTCACGCTGTAATATTTGTATAGTTACCTGGACTTGTAAACAAGTGTAAGCTTGATATGGAATTCAGCAGAAAGGCCACAACAGGTCATGTACACAAGTCTACTGAAGCCTGACGTGTAAAAACGAAGTTGGCGTATGTCCATGAACTCAGTTTACCAGTTTTTACCGAAAAGTTACCTTTAACTCAGACGGCATTGAATAAAAAGAAAGCAGCATTTGATTACATATATTTATCTTGTAACACTCAACAGGCACCGCCATTGTCGGCATACACCTGCCACATATATTTTTGCTTTACTTGGCAGTGACGGGAAAAGGCTGTATTTTAGCATATGCGATAATTCAACAAAATCAATCTTTGAATTTACTTAAATATTACATTTAGAAATATTTATGTTGTAATGAACAAACTGATTTATGAAAATTCCTAAAATCACTGTTATGTCTGATAAAGTTTGGAATTATGTTGAAGGACCCCAACGGAAATAAGCGTATATTGTTACGCTTTTTGGGCTATCCTTGGATAGATTTGTTTAACATATATATCAGCTGTCTGAATTGTGATTTTATGTTCCGGTGTTGCATGTTTTATTAATGTAAATTTTTCACCTTATGTACTATGTAACATGTATTTTATTTATCATGCTTTGTATACATTTGTGCAAATCTTTCCTGAATATCATATTATTATTATATGTTTCTGTGCGTAGCAAATATTTTGGCATCCACCATCGTGCAAAATTCAGCACAAAGTTAATGTCAAGTTAATACAGATTGAACAACAAAACTGTTGAAGTTTCAATAGTATGATTTTCAACAATAGTGCAGGATAAATAGAACACATAGTCAATGTCTTCAACAGAAAGACAAAAGTAAAAAAATATCAGCCAATATTATGAGAATCAATAAGGAGAGAAAAAATGTCAAAATCTTTAGTAAAATGCATGTTTCGTTTGTCGCTTCTTTTCTTTACACATAATGTATTACTGTTACCAACTTAAGATTGTGGGAAGAAATTATTTTTACCTGTATTTGATAGTTTACATTAAATGTTATGAATTCCTGTTTGCCATACTCTGATTGGTGACCAGTCAAACTATTATATTGAGTCAGAAGTATCAGTCTCTTTACTTTGAGTCAGAAGTATCAGTCTCTTTACTTTGAGTCAGAAGTATCAGTCTCTTTACTTTGAGTCAGAAGTATCCAACCCTTTTTTACTTTGAGTCAAAAGTATCCAACCCTTCTTTACTTTGAGTCAGAAGTATCCAACCCTTCTTTACTTTGAGTCAGAAGTATCCAACCCTTCTTTACTTTGAGTCAGAAGTATCCAACCCTTCTTTACTTTGAGTCAGAAGTATCCAACCTTTCTTTACTTTGAGTCAGAAGTATCCAACCCTTCTTTACTTTGAGTCAAACGTATCCATCAGTTCTTTACTTTAAGCCACAAGTATCCATCTCATTATGTGGAGCCTGAATTATAATTGCAGCCTGATTTTCTTCTGGAAATCACCAGACATTTTGATGGCAAATGTCTACATGGTGAGGAGCCAGGGCATATAAAAAAAGTTGGTTTGAAAACAATGTTTTGTTTAAACTTCGGGATAAGAATTTGTGCCAAATCAAAATTCATCATGTAACAAAATGAGTAAAAAGTGGATTTAATGGTAACTTTGGAATGGTGTGTATTGTAGAGAGCAGCATCTTAGTTTAAAGTACATCAGGTCAAAAGTCAGTCAATGCTGGACCGAGGTAAAAATCCTGTGAGTGACAGGTAGTGATGCACGCCTGATAACGGGCGGGGTGTGTACCCCATTGTTGAAGCACTGTGGCAGAATATTGCCAGTATGATTGATCAGGACAGATAGATGCTCGCTTTTGTATGTCTCGCACTGGCGAACAAGTTTGTAAGTAAACGAGATAAGCAACAATGTATAAGATAGATCAAAGATGGGAAGTTGATAACGGGTACTCCTAGTCGCACAAGCCTTCATAATTAGATGCTCAATAGGGACTAGGCTGAAATTAAGTATTTGGGTATTATTTATACTAAGATAATAGCCAGCAGAAGTTAGTCTAGTCTGGGATCGAGTAGCTAGAGAGAGTTGGGAGTCAGACGTGGAGACAGGCAGAGACCCGGATGGGACCTGCTCTGCGATGGAGCGGGCCCTGGCCAAGTTGGCCATGGACATTTGTATGGAACTCTTTGATATGGATGGGCAGGTGTTTAGTTTTTGTCTGCTTTACACATGTATTTATTTTTGGTGCCACAACATGCTGCTGTATGTTGATTAGGAACTATCTTTTGTAATGGATATCAACGCGAAGTACTAACTATGGAAAACCACTATACAATTAAATAAAAGTTTCGGTCAACCCAAGTAAATACTGTGTTTAGTCATTGTGTTACAATCAGCTTAAAATTTCATGACTACATAGTCCAAAAATTTCCACATGAATGAACACATGAATTCTGAGCATTAATTTAAATACACTGAAGACATGTAAATAATGTAATATATATTTCAGTTTTAAATTCAGAACATTATGTGTAATATGTATCTATGAGGGTATAATTGTACACAAATTATGAAAATGACAACATAAACAAATAAAAGAATATGGTCCTATAGGTCAAAGAAAATTAAAAGTTCAATAAACAATTGGTGGCAATATTATCATTTCATTGTATGTGGTGGAGTAGAGTGTGTGAGGGTGGTGGTCACAACACTGACTCCTAGCTCCATGGTGATAGCTGTTATTTATTAATTAGTCTGTGGTGGTTAATTGATTTGTTAGGAAAATGTGTCTTACCACAACTCTCAGCCCTACCCCAACCATCAGTGCACTCACCAACTGAACAAAGGATAATCTAGGATTGCTCCCCATATACCCAATATATATCCGTGTCCAGTAAAACCAGTAACCTAATCTCTGTCCATCCTGTGTCATGTCCACACCCTATATATACTGGTCACTCCTGTAACATGTTGTCGTCACCCTAAGTCCTATCAATCCTGTGTCATGTGCACACCCTATATACTGGTCCCTCCTATAACATATTGTCCTTACCCTAAGTCCTATCCATCCAGTGTCCTAACTGTCCCCATCTAATACACACCCCTCCTACTTGTACATATGTACATTCTGATCCTAATCTACATCTTTTCTGTCATGTCTCTTGTCCACACTCTGAGACACCCTATGAAATCTTTGTTCAGAATTTGGAAAAAACAAACATGTTTTCCAAATGTTTGAACTCTCAGGATTAGGTTGCTGTAACATCTAGATTCTTTTACATAAAATGAACTGGAGATTTATGCCCATGCAGAATAGTAAGTAAATATGTTTATTATCTATCAGTTTTATGCCATAGGAAAACTTAATTGTGACCAAAACTACCTGTGTGTGGTTACGGGTTATTGACTTTGGTGATATGGCCTATTGTTTTCTCTGTCACTGGGTATTTCATCCTTATAATTAATTAATCAGCCTTAGATCAACTCACAGTGAGACTAACCTGGTAACTGATAAACAAACAGCTACTGTAACAAATTACTCAAGTAGAACATCACAGCAGTGTGATTTAATTACATAACAAGAAAGACATGATGAAAGAGGGGTGGGGCAGCAGGACTGATGGGGACAGGACATAGGGGAGATGGGGTTAGGGTGGGGAGAGAACATAAGGGAGATGGAGTTTAGGATTAGGTAAGGAACAGGACATAAGGGAGAAAGGGTTAGGATGGGGACTGGACATAGGCGAAAAGGGGTTAGGGTTGGGACAGGACCTACAGGAGAATCGAAGTTAGGGTAAGGAAAAGTCTTAGGAGAGGTGGAACAAAGGGTTGGATCAGGAAATAGGGGAGACAGGGTTTTGATGGGGAGAGGACATACCGGAGATGAGGATAGGGTAGGAACAGGAATTAGGAGGGATGAGGCAATATGTAAGAGGAATTGGGTATTTACCAAAGAAGAGTGACGGGACTGAAATAGGAATCAGAATTCAGATAACATTGAAAGCAGTAAGTAAGCCTCAAAGGACACAAGAAGGAAGTCAAGTAAATGAAATGTGTAGATAAAGAGGCATCGAATAAAAAGGGGGCAGTGTTTAAAAAGAAATGAAAAAATGAGAAACATAGAGTGGAGTGAAGGATATGGTGGAAGATGTCATTGGATTGATGGAACAGTGGAGAGAGGGCATAGGGAATGGGACCTGGAGGATGGAAAAAGTAGGATGTATGAAACAGGATGGAGAGGAGATAGTTTGGGTATATGGAGGAGGATAAAGAAAAGATAGTATTTGTGTATGAAGCATGACAGAGAGGAGATAGTTTGGGTGTATGGAGGAAGATAAAGAAAAGATAGTATTTGTGTGTGAAGCAGGACAGAAAGGAGATAGTTTGGATGTATGGAGGAAGATAAAGAAAAGATAGTATTTGTGTATGAAGCAGGACAGAAAGGAGATAGTTTGGATGTATGGAGGAAGATAAAGAAATGATAGTATTTGTGTATGAAGCAGGACAGAAAGGAGATAGTTTGGATGTATGGAGGAAGATAAAGAAATGATAGTATTTGTGTATGAAGCAGGACAGAAAGGAGATAGTTTGGATGTATGAAGCAGGATTGAGAGAAGAAAGTTTGGGTATATGAAGCAGGGCTTAGAGTAGGGTATTAAAACCAAAGCACTGTACGTAAGAACTCTCAAGGTGCATATAGGTTAATGACATTAAGCAGGCCTTTGTGTGCAAAGATATACTATGGTGAAGACATGATACAGGATATAGAAGGCAGTCTGACTAGATTAAATAGGATGAAGACCGAGGCAAACAAACAAGAATGAAGACACAAAGGAGGACATAGAAAATGCTAAACACACACAGAAAGGGACAGAGAGGGCATTAGATCCAAAGACTTCAACAGATCAGAGATAGAAGGAGGAAGGAACAGAGGAGATTGGTGATGGGATTAGGAGAGTGATAAGGAGTGCAGATCTCTAGAATGAAGTAAAAGATTGAGGGACATCAGTTTCAGTGGCTTCTGAATACATTCATTCTTTACATAATTATTTTACATAAACTGGTATGTAGGCTTGCATTTTTATTGTACATTTATTAAATAACATGTATTTTACTATTCATCTTGGCAGTTTGTCATCCACATTTGGAAGATCATTCCTCCCCATCGAGGTGGAGGTCGCAGCGACCCAACTGTGATCAAGGATAGCTATGAGGACTTTCAGGACGATAACAAGTTTCACAGTAAGTCAAATTATCATTAGCAATTGTCAGTTTAGCATCCTGGCATCAGAGTAAATAATAATGTGTAGCAATATACAATCTTTAGCTTACTCAATGATCAAGTGATCTTATGCCATAATACATTGACATCCATCTGTTTTCTGTTCACTGTCAACTTTCTACTTTTCTACAGGCCTAATGTTATTATACTAGGCCTTTAGTTGCAAACATGCAGTGGTGAAGAACTTTTGAATTTGTTAAGATAAATAGCCTTTATCTACATTGAAGGTCACATAGGTCAAATGTGTCAAAATCTTAAGGATTTACTCCTCTGATGTTTGACCGTAAGCATTCAATACAAAATTATAGAATATCTTGGACTTGTATGTTTTCATATTGCGATCCTCCTATGTCTAGCATCGTGCATTGTGCATTTTGCATCGTAAACTTTTAACAGTTTCGACTTCTGGAAACTCCTGAACTAATTTCAATGAAATTTTACAAAAGCCTTCAATGGCTAAAGGCGCACCAAAATCGTAAAATTATATAGTCCCCAACCCCCAGGGGATTTCGGGGTGAGGCCAACAAGAGTCAGATTAATCAATACTTTCAAAATCTTCTTCTCAAATCCTTGGTATGGTAGAATAAAATATTCTCTTAATTGATGGAAAGGCCTTCAGATGCCTAATCAAAATTGAAAATTTCAAGACTCCAGGGTCTCTCATTCCCCCTATAGTTTATATAGGAAAATTACATTTTTGAACATTATTTTCTATTGGAAATATTTTGAGACTTGGTTAAAATTAATAATTTAAAACGACAAATTTTAAAAATTTAAAATTTGATTTTTGAGTGTAATTTCTTTTGATTCAAACTGGCTCGAAGCCTTAGTGTAGGACAGCAATTAGTGTTATGCACAATTTACATTTGCTTTATGTGTAACATGCAGTTAAAATCATCACACATTTTGACATGTTATTAGCATCAATTTGACTCTGGTGACTGTTAAACCCTTTGACCTCTTTTTATATACTTTGTTACCTATAGTTGTATTTATATGCTAAAAAAAGGAAACTTAAAATGATATTTTGCAGAAATTTTGCTTGTGGACTACATTTTTGGCAGTTTATTTGAAAATGTGATGCAGTAAATAGCATCAACAATTTCAATGTTTTCTCATTGCTAAGCTACCACTCTTGAAGATAACTTTGAAAGTTTTCAGGAGCTTTCATCTGAATTTTGCATGAATTATCAACACTAGTAATAGATTACAAATTCCTGAATTATGACTGAGTGAACCACTCTCACTGATTTTCAGGACTCAAAAACAAATATTTTGATCTTGAAGGCAAAAATTAAAATCCTCAGCCCCTTCTCCCTTACTTTTTTAATTGCGACAAACGTTTTCAAAACTTTCTCAATCCAAGCATAATTTAAAAAAAAAGATTTAAGTACTAGAAGATATATAGAGTAGCCAAATAAAGGATTTAAGTCATTTTTCATAAATGTTTTTTTTTCTTTTGCTGGCTATGCTTTTTGAAGGTTGTTAAATCAAATAAAAATTAAGAATTTTTGTATTGTTTTTTTCTTTGTATCCACGTATCATACTAATATGTGACGTTGAAATATCTCTAATTACGCATATTCCGATGCCTGTATCAGAAAGAAGTATTGCAAAATGTTGCTTCATAATAACTTTCTAAAATCAAAGCTTTCTTAAAACCATCACCAGAATAAAAATTACTAGTTTCATTGGTGAGTTATTTTTACTTCTCAGAGGAGTATATCCCTAAAATAAATGTTTTTTTTGATAAATATGAGCCCCTGAGTTTCATTGTTTCACCTCAATTTTATATACATGGTAGATAGGATGTATGATGCCTGGAAAGAGCATGAAAGTATCGCCAATAACTTTTCCCTTTATGATTGTCCTCTCTTATCAATTGTGAAGATCAATTGTGAAGCAGGTGATAGCTACATGTCCATTTGATCTCTTGTTGTTAAAAAATATCCCTTGCATAAACATGCAGTTAAGAAATTATGATAAGTTTAAGTTTACAGTTAGGGACTTTCTGTAAGGTTTGTGTTTACAGGTGAGGTTCAAAGATTGGCTGGTAGTTACATGCTTGACTATCTGCTCAGGATCTGTGATGGTCATATAGATTATCTACCACGCCTCCCAGAAAAAGCCCTCAAAAATATTATTCACAACCTGGAGCTTGAAGACTTGAGACACCTGTCAATGGTCAACAAACAGTTCCGAGAGGTTAGTAAAAAAATCAGGGAAGATGACTTGTTAACATGTAAACTTCAGTCTTTAACATATGGGATTGCAATAGCTTTCAGATAAGCTTAATGCAGGTAAGGCAAAAACTATTTTTATTTTATCTGCCATTGTATGACATATGTATAAGGAATTTTCTATAGTGTGAGTGTGTATCCAGTTCTTACTTAGTATTTCATTGTCATCAGACAAAACCTAAAAACTCCTATACTAACAATTACAAGCCTCATCGTCGAGCACTGTAATGATTTAAGTACTTTTTAAATTTGGCTCATATGTAACGTGCAGGGTGTCCTATTAACCCCCGGGTTCGTCCTAAGAATATACTTGGAATGTCCTGTATTTAACTATGATACAAAATATAACGGCACACTGGCTTGGTCAGCGCCGGTGTAAGATAGAATTGCTTAATTCTACTGTAACAATAATTAACACAGTCTAATTTATACTGAATTAATAATATGTACACTATGATTGGTAATTGACAGAAAAAAACATATAACTATACCCAACACTACACGCCCACTACCTGTCAACGCATAGGCAAGCACACGCACTCCTGGTCTTATTACTCGGTCTCACAGAGCAACGGCAACCACCCGCGCAATTGTCAACCAGCGCAACGGCACTTGTACAGTGCGCAGAGCAATTGCTCCTAACTAAGCACTAGTGCCTAGCGCGCACTGGCACTTAATAGAGAGTGCCAAAACTAGCACTTGTTCAGTGCTTATATATACTCAAACAAATAGATACAGAGCCTTGTTCAGGCTCTTAGCTATCTATTTGTTGTTTTCACACCCTTATTCAGGGTTGTAGTATTACCTTCCTTTCCCTTGCTGTAGCTGTCTTCTTTTGTGGCCGTCTTAATGTTGCAAACAAAGTACCAAGAATGAAGGTCCGCTGTCCTTTATATACAAATGGAAGGTACCACTTCAAGGTAAATCGGGTTATTCCATTTTTTACTAACTTTAGATCATGAGTGCGTTTTAATATAATGTCCTACTCTATATACAAATTACAAACATGCAAACTACCGTGATCAATGCTTTATTGGGGCACAAAAAGGGAAATCAAAATGTAAATATCGTTACACATACACAGCAGTCTATATTCTAACAACTACATTTCTTGAGAAAAAAAAAAAACAGAAAAAAGAAAAAAGAAATATTAAGATAAAAAGTAAATAGAAATTAAAGAAAAAGGGAAAGAAAAAACAAATTAAAGGTTGATACATACACTTGTATGTCTATGATAAGTTCCCATTCTTTATCATTGATGAAGTTATTGCGCTTTGTTTATTTTGTTTAATTTCTTTTCTCTGCGTTCCACTACAACTTCAGTTCTCAAGTACCCTACTATATATTGTAACTTTCATTAAATTTCAATTGATTATTGATATGCCAATACCCTGAACTTCTTAGAAATTTTGATTAAGTCCCAATTTCTTTATCTATTGAGTTATTGCAATTCATTTTGCCTGCTAAAATTTTTATTGTTGAATGGCTGCAGCAACAGAATTTTTCAACACACAGGCAAAATTTTAAAAATTGCTGGTATATATGTTTGTCTTAAGTGTTCCAGAGGAAAAGTGAGAAAAGAGTTTTTAGGTGAAACATAATGCAGTTACAGTTCCACCCTATTGTCACAGCCTTTGGAAATAGCTGTTACTATCTATTCTAGCTTTCTGATATTGGTTGAAATATTTCAACGCTATAACGGTGATCCCTAATAGCAGTCCGTTGCTATTAACATTGTGGCCATCTTTCAAAAGGGAGTCACGCATGCATACAGTTGCTATGAGACAATCAAGTATTATCCTCAAAACTTAGCTTAATACACAGACTAGGTGTTCATGAAAACATTTAGATTACGATTTGCATCAATCACGAATTAGCATTGCTCTGGTTTGTAGAGGATGTTTTTGATATTTTCTTTCTGCTCTGGTGTTATAGGTAGGCTACATGGTGTTCTCAAAGTACTTGTTAAGAATAATTATTTTGTGTCATACATATAGAATTAAATTGGTTCATTAAGGAAATATTCAAGTTCAGAACCCAACCAAATTCCAACCTCCCTCCCCCCCCCCCCCCCCCCACCCCCAACCCCCCTACTTTTTTTTTAAGTATTTGTAATATTCTTTCACATATCAAAACATCTTCCTATTCTTTAAGTCTAACTTGTGTAATCTTTATATTTTAGCAATGTAAGTCTATTATTTGTATGAGAGTTTTATAACTAGTCTTTGTGCTTTAAGCTGTGTAACAGCTGTGAGGTTTGGAAGAAGATCTACCATCGGTGCAGCGAGACACCAATAACACCAGAACTGGAAAATCTTGCCAAGGAGAAAAGTTGGAAACGTCTTTTCTTCACTAACAAACTCCAGTTACAGGTGAAATTGTTTATTCCTTATTAACAATTTATTTTGCTGGATTTGATCACCTTGGGTTAAATGTAGAGATCGTGGTATTTGTAAAAACCATGTAAACTCAAAATCTTGAAAATGAGGTTTTTATTTCATTTTATCTTATTTGTCCACAAAATGATAAATAGATAAAAATTGACATGAATATCTAACTTGTGGATTTCAATTAGGAAAATTAAACATGCATCCAATTTTTCACTGACTTTTTCTACATCAGGTACAGCTTCGCCGCATGAAGCAGAACCAAGAAGAGTTACCTCCCCCTGGTAGTTATGCTTTTATCACACACCAAGAAGAGGAACAAGAGACGATGTAGTGGATGGAGTCGTATAATATTAGGAATGGAATGTAATTTTTCTAAATAAATAGAAAATAATTTAGACAAACAATTACAAATCTATTGGTTAAAATGGGAAAACATTCAAATGTGAAAAAGGAGCTGGACAATGTGTACATACTGTAAAAGTCCTGCAATCAGGCCTGGGGAGAGAGGGGGTGGGGGCTAGAAAAGTGGGGGTTACCTCTGACTTGGCAAGGAAATAGCATTTGTTGGTGCATTTATTTTAATGAATAGTGATAGATATCGATGGTCTTATCACCAGGTATGGACTTATTTATAGCGAATAGTATGTGGTATGGAAACATTGACATTTGAAACAAGATATTAGATTGACATTATATTGTAACATTTTAAATAACAAATAGCATCTTTATAATTCAATGAGAATATTGCTGTAAAAGTGATGATATTTGTGATATTATTTATAACATGTCAGGTAGAAAACACTAAAACATCTAGTTCACCCCAGGTCTTCAAAACATTCCACTTCTATCTTGAGTTTGGTTTCCTGCTTATTGTTTCAAAGCAAAACACAAATAAAACTCTATGGATGGTACCTCTTAACAAAACAAGGAGTCCTGGGGATGAGATAAATGTTTTACTTGAATAGCCCTCAATATTATTGTTGTTAAAAAGTGCTTTAAATACAAGATTCTTTTTTCAATACAATCTCTTTATGTAATGTCAGAAATAGTTAATATTCCAACTTCATTATTGTATTTATTAAAGCATACAATATTTTTCAACCAAGGGTGTCACAAAGTGTCTTCCCAGTTTTAAAGAAAGGATATGAATTAAGAAACAACATGATTACAGATAATCCGTTAGTGTATTGAATGTGTGTTATGTTTTCTGTGAGAAATGATAAGTGATTTGTAGTGAAAACCAATTGGCATGTAAATGTATATATTATATTTTTTTCTCAAGTTGTTATTTAAAGTCAGAATTATAACATATTGCGATAATAAAGTATTTCATGTATTTATGACAATGGCCTGAATGATATCGCCCATAACTGCCAAAGGATTATGCTTATATATTGCTTTCATTTTTTGCAACTTTCCACCTCTGTACACTCTAACAATAGTTCTAACAGCCTTAATTTATTACGATCAAATAGGACCAGTTTTTCATTGTGGTCGGATGGTGTAGTGGTAAAACACTTGCCTTTTACCCAGCTGTCTGGGGTTCGATTCGTTGAAAAGACATGAAAGGTATGTTGTCATGTGTCTGACCACATTGGTTTTCTTGGGGTACTCCAGTTTCCTCTTACAGCATCTTCCGTCAAGGCCATCAAGAGTGATTAGCATATGTTGAAAGAAGTTGTTGAAAAATAAATAAAAGTTTTACTGTATACCCATTTTTCAATTTGCAAGAAATTTATTTGCAGATAATATTGAGGGATTTATTTTAGCATGCAAAGTCTGTTAAACAATGCAGGGTTATTACAGAGCATGGGCTTATTAGAGAACATTTATTATTCAGTTCATGTTTGTGGAGGTTTTATTTTTGTGATTTCATGAGTACATGTAATCTACAGGTTCTTGATGTGCAATGTATGTCAGTGAAAAGATAAATAATTAAAATTGATTATTTATTTATAAAATAAAGTGCCAACAAAATAGCATTAAAAAATCCATGATATTGTGGAAAACACACTGTTTATATTTTATATGGCACTGTCCACGGTTGCTGCCAGCTCTCTTCAATGAAGTAATACCATGAAATTTACTCATATCAGTGGAAAGCCTTAAGTCAGGATGATAAGAGAGTTTGATAGTCTATTTTCACGCCAAATTTGTCGTAGGAGATCTCACAATGTCCATGTCACATTGCATCAGTAGTTACCACCAAGGGACATAATTACCATGGTTTTCACGGCCCCACAAAATAAGATTTTTGATTTCTCTGTACCGGTATTCATATGATATACAAAAAAAAAAAATACTTTTGATAGATTTGTGAAATTTCTGGGTGATGTAAAGAAATGGCTGAGTACTAAGGCATACATCAGGCTAAAGTTCAAACATTTAAATTATTAATCAATATAACAACCAATCTACCTTATGGGATATGATTGAAGTTGGCATTTAAACTATTTGTGTGTAATACCTCAAGTTAGCTTGTACTTTTAGGAAATTAATTTGTTTTGTTTTTTCCTCAGAAGACTTTGTTGTTTTTATGACAAATGGATTCTAAGAATTTGCGATTATTTCTTTATTGCAGAGCTTACTTTTCTGTGTATAAACTGAAGTCCTGGAAATTCTTATAAAATAAAAAGCAAACTGCTGATATTTGTGTGTTGGATATTTGAGAAATTGGGTTCACCTTTGTTATTTGTGCAATTGGGATACTTTTTGTAACTTCAAATATTAGTAGTATCTTCCTTAATTTTTAATACGTATGATAATTAATGGACATAAAAGCATTTGTGGCAATTCTAGCTTTGCTGTATCTTTTTTTCTTTTAGTGTGTTTTTCTTTCTAAAACAAATGAAGCTGAAACTGGTCATTTTACAAACCTGGTTAATTTGTTTTCAAATATCTTAAATGTGAGTCTATTTAATCCTCTTCTGTGTTCAAACATAACAATCTCTATATGCTTTATACCAAACTTTGGTCCTGTACTATGCATGCAGGTATCTTTAGGCTAATACACATAAAATATATAGAGCGTTCTTCAAGTTAACGTTCAGTTATATCTTGATTTTACCTGCACACTGAAGTTCCTTATTATCTTTATACCTTTCATGTAGCTCGTCAGGATAAGTGGGCAGTGTACTCACCTAGCTTGATTATGTGGCCAGTTGGTCAGTCATACCTATTTGACAAATATAACAAGGTTACTTATGACCTACCCAGCAGGATCTCTGAAATCAACAGATCACCCAAAATTTGTATCCATTGGGAGGCGGGGCTGAGGAGTGAAAATTGGGAAACTTCTCACTGAATAAGGAAAGGTAACAGATATGTTCCTGATAGAGTGAGTTGTTATTGGAAAGAATTTTTAAAAGTATCTTTCCCTTGCCTTGTATACATATACATGGTACCAATATCTTGCTTCAAAACATTACTCCTTCATCATTCCTGAACAAATTGTCTCAACTACTTCTCAAGTTTTATTCACAACTGTAAGATAAATATTTGTAGTTTGATTTGTTAAGGAAAAGAAACAGATAATATGTTATTTTTCAGGTTGATCAAAACTTCAAAATGGTAATCAGACATGACCTTAAACTCAAAGTTAGGAACTTATGCCACACAATAAAACAGCAACAATAGTATGTGTAGATAATAGATATAGGTGGGCTTATTACCAGACATTGGCTTATTGCTAGTTAAATATTATGTTTTTGTAATCATAGAAGTGCCATTATAATTTTTTTGTTACAGTGTAGTTGTTACTTTTCTTTGCATAATTGTTTTTGCAAGATCTGTTTTCTGTGAAATTATATTCTATCTGTACCTTTGAAAGTTGAAAGTGCCTGCAGATTTTGTTTCAATATCTAAATTGTTTGAATCCCAAAATAGCATTGTTTTAGACTGTAGTTCAGACCCTCAAGCTTTTTATGATTTTTTTGGTGTCGATAAAAATATTTCACTTTCTTATTTCTCATCAAAAATTTTGTAAGTTTTGTACTGTTTTTTTTTTTTCTCTTTTGATTGTTTTGCATGTTGTATATTCACATTGCTGTCAAAATTTTGCTTGATGAAAAATTTTTGGGGAAAGGTACTGAGATATAACAGTAGTACTACAGTAGATAGCAGTATGTACTACTACCATACTGCAATTATGTATACATGTATCAAAACTTCAAATAGGAATATTCTTTATGTTGTTCCAGACTGTAACCTATCCAGCATATAAGAGCTGTCTTCAGAATAGCATATTTAAAGTACTTGATTGATCAAATATTTCAGTTTTGACGTTTTATGTAAAACCTTCCTTCTGATTGGTAGATACAGTGTTTTATAGAAAAATTAACTATATATTAAAAAATTGCGAGTTTATTTTGTACTGAAGATATGGAAGTTTTTCTTAGAAATCTCATCTCTGGTTTTTTTGTTAAATGTAGCTTTTGTTGCACAAACGTTTACATCACCAAGCCTATTTTGATAGACATTTTCTATCCAATTTCTGTAGCGTAACTTTTCAGTCCATTGAAGCAATAAAGCTTTCATCTTGGCTGAAACTGCTTGTTAATTAGGTTTACCACATCTTTAATTGCAATGAAACTTGCCAAAAACATGATGTTGTGTTCTTTTGTGTTATAATCTTACAATTTTCTTTTAAAGTATTTTGCAAAAAAAAGTCCCTTGCTTCTACTTTTCAATGTATCATGTACATAGCTCATTATTGTTTGGGTAAGAAAATCTTAAACTTATGAACATTTTGTATGTATGGCCATGAAGCATTTTTAGTACATTTGTCATGTAGTGAATTCATTCTTACCTTTGTTTTATCTGACTATTGAAAGTTCTGAAGCCTTATTGTGTATACTGACATTGTTGTGTTGCTAGGTTTTGGAAAGAAAATGCTGAATTACTATGTTACTTATATGTTAATTACTTCTTGCTGTATTTCTTGATAAACACATTCCATATTCATTAAATATGTCTTACCAGGAGTGGTCATGTTGTCAGTAAGATGGGAATCTATCTCAATGTTACAGTACACAGTGCTTAATCACTTTTTAGGTCCATGCTTTGTACTGGTGTGAGGTTACCTTATCTCACCCCTGTCAGGACAATGATATGACATTAACAATTCACTGACATCATGTCAACAATTAAATCACATCACTGGTGTGAAACATTGAGGCAACAAAAACACTTACAAATACCTAATCAAGCCAGCATGGTAAGAGAAACAAATTTTAACCTTATTTTGGTGAGACAGGCTGATCTCAACCCTCTGGAAAAGTTGTCAAAGTTCACTCGGCAAACCTTGTGTTTGCTAGATTAAGATAAAGAATCTTTTCCCTGGGGTTGAGATCCACCTTTCCCATCTCCAAGGAAGTAAAAGATTCTATTAGTCACATATAATCTGTTTGGTATCTAAACTTCATATTTAGCACCAATTGCTGTCATAATTTTGTAACAATAGCATATCCAATTGTCTTCCTGATCAATTCAAGGCAGTTCATTTTGTATAATGAAAAAATTTGGAAATGAAAATGGGTGGGAAAATTTTTTTTTTATCAAATTTATGTACTAGAAAAAGCAAAATTAATCTGTAACTTTTGTGATAGATTTGTCTCAGTTGAAGATTGAAATGCTTTAAGCTTCAAATGACTTGTTAGACTGTCGGCCCTCAATGGCGTGTGATCTCGATCACTCACAGGTTAAAGATTTTGTTAACAGTTCCTAATTCATAACAATGGAAATTGTTTAGATCTCCACCCTATAACCATTCATATTTATAATTATAAAGTAGATATTTAGTATCAAGATAAACCCCCATGGTTCTAATTCTCTGCTAATTCTGTATAGAAATATTGAAATGGTTGACATTGTAAACAATAATCCTATGCATTTGGTTGGAGGATGAGCATTTTCCATAGGGGTGAAGTATTTAGATCAGAAGGTGGAAATGGTTGAAGTCATGTGCCTGTACTCCATTACCAATAAAATGTTCTTGTTAGGCATGTAATGTTAAAAGGTCTCACCTCTGCCACCGAAATCTATCTGAGTATCATTTTCAAAAAAAGTAATAATAAAAGAGTGAACTGTATGATTGCTGCAGGTGAATAATACAGGCCATTTTGGCCACTTGTTTTCTACTTTGCTATTGCTAATAAAAGCAACCAACAGTTCAATGAATATGGGGGTAATAGCTACATGACTTGTGAAGTTAGTTGTATTGAAAAATAGTCAGAATAACTCAAATTTTAATTTTTAAATGTGCCTATTTTATCGTTCTCAAAGCTGTCTTGTTAATTTCGAGTGCTGGGGGTTATACATTGCACATTAATTGTAATAATTTGCATACCTGTACATTTCTCTTATGTGGACCTATGCAATATTTATGTACATCTCTGTTATATATTAGCCTTGTTTAAGTCTGAAATTGGAAAGAAAATTTCTGACGGAGATTGAAAGTCAGCAATTCTGCTAACTACGTAAAGAGGAATCTGAACTCCCATATATTATCAGTGGTTATATTAAGTGTTAAAAAGCTGTCATTGCCTTTATATAGTGAAAATACTTTTAAGTAAAACTGGATATTTGGTAAATCAATTTTGTAAAAGGGTACCATCTACTTGTTTCCTGTCTAGAGTAAGATATCTAAGTACCATTTTAAAAAAATCATTTACATGTACTTCTCCTTATTTTCAACAGCATATTTTTCTTGCTACTTTTTTTTCCAAATATTCAATTATTCTATTCAAAATACTTCCATACTTCCAGGAGTTGGATACTGTAAACTATACAATATCCAAGTGATGTAGAGTGCTCACAATGTATCTATATACCTGGTATGTATATTTGAAAAGAAGATGATGTTTCAAGCTTTTTTTCAAGTAATTGACAACAATATTATGAATATGTTCATTTCCTATGGTATTCACTGGATTCTAGAAATATATTATTTTACATATGTTTCGAAGTTGGTTGCTTTGGTATAAATGCATCAAATTATGTCAGAATATGCCGTCCAATAATTATTATTAACAGGCTCCTCAAATGCCTGTACAAAGATATCTAGTTTTAGTATTGTTGTGTTCGGTAAGTGTACATTGTATTCAGTACATGAAAGTTCTTTGTATTGTAGAGTTGACAGTTTTTTTATAACAATAAAACTTTACACTAAACTCAAATTGAATTTAGTTTTTATTATTAAAGCACCACCACATTTTGAACTTATCAAATCACTTTTCATGCTCCTCAAACATTTTCAGGGCAGCATACAGGTGCTGCCTTATCAATCTGTCTGTCCATCTTTCCATCTGTCCTTTTGTATCTGGAACTTTGCCAACAGTTAAGCAAGGGTCATGAAACTTGATGTCTACTTTCCTCATACTAAGAGGGTGTGCAGTGTACGAAATTCTGGGCCCTTGACCCCTCAGTTACAAAGTTATTGCACTTCGTAAAAATTTTGTATCCAGAGCATAACTTGCATTTAGACTAGTATAGCGAAACTTGGTATAAAATTTCCTCCTACTAACATGATGTGCAGTGTACCAAATTCAGGATCCCTTAATTACATAGTAATTTCAATTTCTCTATGTTAAAATTTGTGTCCTGAGCATTATTTTGCCTTCATTTAAATTAGGATATTGAAATGTGAATTGACATCTGACAGAGTAATGATTTTTTGGTCCATCAACCTTAAAGACCTTCGACCTTAGCATTATTTTATTGTATAATCATATCAATAAACCATTTTTTTAAAGAGTTTTTGCAATTTGTCTCTTTGCAGCAATTTTATGTTGCCTGAGGAAATTGTTTCTCGGTTTTTGATCGACCTCCTTTTAAACAGGAATTAGGCTCTGGGTAGTGAGAGGGAATATACATAAAACAACCATCCTCTTGAACTATCTTCCTCTATTCTCCTCCTAACACATGAGAGTTACAGTAAACAAGGGAGGCAATCGTGTAATACAGTTATTGAAGTTACCTCCCCTTTGACAATTTGTGGATGGTTTACATACAGCTACCTATATATGTATACATAACAACATTGTATGATCTTAACATTTGAACGTAAATAGGCCAACTAAAACAGTGCAAAGTTTCTCAAACATGGCCTCACCTGCCCATATAGTGTATTGACCTAAGTCGTTAATATTACCCAGAAGTATCTATCAGTTTTATCAAAATGTGCATTTTGCAGTGTAAGAATGCTAATTTAAAAGATAAAAAGATGTCCGATCCTGTAAATCGTCTTTCGGTATTGATTGGCACAGTATGTTATGTGAAAAAAATAACAAATGTGTTTGGTCAATATGGAACCATAATATTTTAACTATGTTAATTTTAAAACAAAATAATTATACAAAAAACACTTCGATGCCCATATTGTACACATAAACCGCCCAATCCTGTGGATCGACTTTCCGTCTTGCACGACCAAAACAGTTTTTATTTTTTGTAACTTTTTATTTTTTAAGAATTTTCATAATATGTACATCACATATGACAAAAAACAACCATACACATGCTCTCTCACATGCACACACACATACATTCACATGGCAAAACAGATATTGGTATTTCTTTTTTAAATACTTCTTCATTTTTCTTCATAACTGTTCATAATGTTTTAAACATGATGATGTATACACAATAAAACATGTATTAAAACCATTGAAACGGTGCTATTGACCCCAGATTCTGCCCAATCCTATAAATCGTCGCTCGATTCTGCCCGATCCTGCCCGAGATCCTGTAAATCGTCTAACCCATTTGCCACTGGGGATTTCCCAAGGCTTACTTTGTGTCGTTGAGTATTAACAGCAAGTCTAACAATGAATTTAGAAGAACTTGTCCTTCAGTGATTGAATCTATAAAGGAAGAGGTAAATTGTAAGAAACCAGTGGAAACATACAAGTTGGTGTTCGGGGAAGACCCCTATGATATAGAGACAACCATCCTGTATGAATTTTCTCAACTATTCGTGGTTATATAATGGCAAAGGGTCGGAAACCAGACGAAAACCAAAACTCATCGCTCCAGGGTGATAACTCCATTAGAGCCAAAACTGAAGGGAACGACGAAGCTTCACAAATTCCTGAATCTTATCCTGGCCTTAATGACGGAAATGAAACCGAGGTAATTAACATTGAGCCTGATGACTAACAAAAAAATTAAGTCGCCTTTAACAGGTTTGGCATTAGACCGAAGATTTCGGTCTTGCCACTGAATCCTTCAAAACTTCTCTCCGCTCACTGTACCCTTAAAATGAAATATTTATATACATATATTCTTTCTTTTTCTTTAAGGTAAATCTCCTTCTCTCTCGAGACATTATATTCAACTTGTTTAAGCTGATTATCATCATTTAGAAGTAGAAGTAGAACAGTGTAAATTCGTGTTAATAATACTGGTATTGATACAGGTGTTTAGATTCTTATTACTTATGTTTAAAAAATGAATAACAGCATAGTAAGTATGTTTAATGACATTCAGTTATCATTTTAGAGACAGAAATATTCAGTCTTGTTTGACACAACTTAATTAATTCTTTCTGGGATGTCTTCTTGTAACGTCATCAAACGTTTGGCATGTTTATTACTAGTCAGAAGGGTTTTATTTCACAATGCAACCAAGACAGACAAATGAAATTGCGGATAGATAGTAAGAATCCTTTGGACTAGGCATCACCCCTCAAATGGTTAATATGTATATATTCATGTGCAGTGATTTGAGTGATAGCTACTGTTTTAGTAACAAATTTGTTACTATAGGAATGCAGGATCATTTGGAATAAAAACACATAGAAAACATTTACAGTTTTAGGACAAAAAACTTTGGAAAAAGAGTGTCATCTTTTAATGAAGTATATATAGCTTGAATCTACAGAGTGATAGGCAGAGGTTAATATCCTTGAGTGTTTAGTTCGTAGGTTGGGGAAATCAACTGTACAATGGAATGTGATATATGTTAGTTATTTTTATTTAATCAACTTTAAATACTAGTATAGTAATCTATATGTGTTTTGCAGATAGCAATTTGAAAATTTCTTTTTCAAAAATATACTTCACTGAGATGTTTCGTTGTTGATAACATTTTTTCCATTATTTACAGCAACTATCTGAAGCTATAGGTGGTGGCTTGGCTACCAAAGAAGAATCCAACTTACAGCCTGAAAATGTAGTGAAGAGTGAAACAAACAAGATTTTGTGGGAAGGAGATGTGGTTGACACTAAGTCATCAGAAAACATTCGCCCATCTCCAAATGTGTACAGGTCTTTGTCATCAAATGCTGAGGAAGAATCTAAAACATTGAGAAAATCCCATGGAACCTTACGATGGACCAATGATGGTTCTTCAAATGACCTAGGTTTTAATTCTGAATTTTCAAATCCAGTTGAAGGACAACCTATCAGTGGTAGCAGTACTATAAGACTTGGTGGTACAGCCTTATATGGCAGGCGAGTTGATGGGGTCCTTGAACAAGCAAACAATATACCTAGTCAATCTCTAGCTCCTGGTGAACAGAACAGCATTGAAACATGTTCAGATATTGGTAGTGTCAGTTCCGTTGTAAGTTGTGCTACGGAAAGTCATTCATTGCTGAAAGTCACCAGCAAAGACTTCCATTACAAGGATGATTATGAGGGCTTAAGGAAAAAAGCTAAAATCTATCATAAAATGAGGATGAATCTTAGGAACGAAAGTGATCCTGGCTGCTTTGAATACTGTATCCATCCCACACAGAAGCATGATTGGCAAAATCATGGTGCCAAGAAGAAGCTAATTTACAACTATGCAGCTGTAAGAACTGGCCACCTTTTCCAACGGGAAAGAAACACAGATCATTACAAGGAGGTAGGGACATGTTCTCATGTCGGTGATGGGTTTGTTTTTACCTGTTACCATTGTATCAGTGATGTCCTATATAGAGATGGTTGTCCAAATGAACTGCTCTTGGAACAAGATTTAGCAGTTCTTTTCCCAAAAGATATCAACATATGTCCTGGACAAGGTTTAAATCAATACAGTTTCAAACCCTTTTTGCATTCATTCTCTGAGAGTTTAGACTATGCTGTGCTGAGATTGGATCTAGGTAAAGCTGAACAAATCCCTCCACACTATGCCAGGTATTCAAATGACAACGAAAGCCAGGAACATCCAGTCTATATCGCTGGCTACCAGCTCCATTCTAAACATAAGCATGGCAAGCTAGTTGTGGATGCAACTGCTTTAAAGCTACCCCTTGATACTCTTAGCTTAGATTTTGTTGAAGGTTGGAGTAAGAAGTTGAAAGACTGTTTTCAAGTGAAAAATGAAAAGCTCCAGGGGATACTTCAGTTTAGGATACCTACATATTACCCAATAACAAGATGTGGTAAAAACTTTCCTGTGTTATCTTCTCTCATCAGCGGAGCATCAGGCGGGTTTGGTTTGAGCTATACTCCACAAGATGAAGTGCCAGTGGTCAACTTTATGTACAGATCAGGGTATCCGGCTTTCTTCTACAACAGTCATTTTTGTAACACTACTGCATCTTTCCATGAGGAAAATTTGGCCATACAGAAGGGTTTTTATCCATGTTGGTCATTTCAAGCAGGTATTCCAATGAAAATCATTGTGGAAGAGATTCTGAAATCACGTGCCTCATCCTTGAGTTCTGTTCCATTCCTTCTTTCAAACATGTAGCTGTAGCTGTGGCAAAAGAAGGAGAGCAGGGAATTCCAAATACAAACAACATTGAATGCATGCATTCTGTGGGATTTAAAAATTGGATATTTTGACTCGGGCATGTGATCCAAATAAAGTAAGAAATGTTGAACACACATGAGGGTTTGAGTGCAAGTCTTATCCTACTGACATCTAGAAAGATGTATGTATTGTGTTTCATGTGTGTAGCTGAATTATTACATGTTAAACAAAATATTATGGTTTTGTCGTCAATATTTACATGTTATCTATACAGGAAGGATGTATTTTTTTATCATCATTATATACATAATTACTTATATGTAGGTAGCTTACAGCAGTAATATTCATATACTATCACTTTAAAAGTTGGTAAAATACGATTAGAAGCTAATAGGTAGAAATGTACACAGAAAGCGAAAATGTTGTATGCACCTGGTATATGTATTTATCTTCCTGTAAATATTTATATACTAATATCTATTTCTGCGATAAACATATGTATATCAACTAAAAAGTATTTTGTAATATTCATAGACACATAGAACTGCAGTCTATAATAGTGAAATGATATTGAAAGTGGTCATTAGTTATATAATCTTTCACTTCTTGATATGAAACAAATCAATAATTATGAGTGCTATTAATAGGTGTGATTAAACCAGCATGTGACTAATATATGTTTGGATTGTGATGTCACTTCTAGAATTTCTTTTTATTGATTGGTTAAGATGGTCAGATTTAGGTCATTGCTATTAGAAGTTTTGTTTATGACTTGTTTATTTTTAGATGCCTCTGCTGGAATTTCCTTAGTTATTGATTAGTCAAAGCTTGGCCATACTTAAAAGTTGCTAAAGGAAGGCCTCATAAACATGCTTGTTATTGCTGCATTTTTAAGTCTTATGACTCAATCCATATGATGATTCTATTTATAGAATCTGATGTAAATTAAGTCGACTTAGTGGTAGCTTAGCTACAATTTAGATTTTATATAATTATGTATATAATTAGCATTAATGTTATTTTATAAACCATTTTTTTTGTGTTGTAGTGTACACATTGCAGTACTCCAGTTAAGATATGTACATGCGTAAATTACTCTGGAAAATTAGTCAATTACTCATCAAAAATTAAATGGGTGTGTACTCTCTATGCATTAAAAATTAGTACTATTCTGTGGTTTTAGATAGCTTGCGTACACAATCCGGAAATGTTCACACAGACTTTAGTCTGTCCCTATTTCGGCATTCTATATTTCTAAACGCTTCACTGATTTCCCTTCAAATTCAAACGTCTGTCGGATGTTTGCATGCACAGAACGTTTGATGACGACAGTGACAAAAATATCACTTGAATCGTTCGGGTTCCACGTGAGAACCCAACTTTCTTTCGAGACATTGGTAAAAGAATTGTTGAATAAGATAATCAGTGAAATAACAAAATCAAAACGGAAGCATGAAAATGTGTCTGACACAAAGATCGAGGAGTGGAAGGCAATGTTTCCGTGGCTGTATGTCAGCAGGTCGAGTGATGACCAAAATAGGACCTTAACATTAACTTGTAGGTTATGCATGGATTCTAAAGCCAGCAATACATTTACGACTGGATGTTTACTCAACTTGTAAGACACAACCCAAGTTTTACTCATCATAATTGAAATTGATGTGTACAATTACCCATTAGGTAAAAAATTATCTGGAGCACTGACATAGTGTTATAACTCTTTTCTCTTTTTATTTTTCTTTATTGGGTATAATCACTAGTTAATAAGGACCTCCCTTCCACCTGGGCAGCTCTTGTACTCTCCCTCGTTAATAAGGACCTCCCTTCCACCTGGGCAGTTCTTGTACTCTCCCTCGTTAACAAGGACCTCCCTTCCATCTGGGCAGTTCTTGTACTCTCCCTAGTTAATAAGGACCTCCCTTCCACCTGGGCAGCTCTTGTACTCTCCCTAGTTAATAAGAACCTCCCTTCCACCAGTGCAGTTCTTGTACTCTCCCTCGTTAATAAGGACCTCCCTTCCACCTGGGCAGGTCTTGTACTCTCCCTAGTTAATAAGGACCTCCCTTCCACCTGGGCAGCTCTTGTACTCTCCCTCGTTAATAAGGACCTCCCTTCCACCTGGGCAGTTCTTGTACTCTCCCTCGTTAACAAGGACCTCCCTTTCACCTGGGCAGTTCTTGTACTCTCCCTCGTTAATAAGGACCTCCCTTCCACCTGGGCAGCTCTTGTAGTTACCCTCGTTGATAAGGACCTCCCTTCTACCTGGGAAGCTCTCGACTCTCCCTAGTTAATAAGAACCTCCCTTCCACCAGGGTAGTTCTTGTACTCTCCCTCGTTAATAAGGACCTCCCTTCCACCTAGGCAGCATTTGTACTCACCCTTGTTAATAAGGACCTCCCTTTCACCTGGGCAGCTCTTGTACTCTCCCTCGTTAATAAGGACCTCCCTTCCACCTGGGCAGTTCTTGTACTCACCCTAGTTAATAAGGACCTCCCTTCCACCTGGGCAGTTCTTGTGCTCTCCCTAGTTAATAAGGACCTCCATTCCACCTGGGCAGTTCTCGTACTCTCCCTCGTTTATAAGGACCTCCCTTCCACCTAGGCAGCATTTGTACTCTCCCTTGGTGATTAGGCCCTCCCCCTTACCCTCACAGCTTTTGTTCCATTCCCTACATAGTTAATTAGGACAGCCCTTCTATCTTTACAGCCCTTGTTTCCTTCCTAGCTGATGATGACCTCCCCTCCACCCTTATATGATGACCTAATATAGTGTTAGTTGTAGATGAGGCCTTCAAAACTAAAATAAATATGATTCATGATGCATCATACTTGTAAATGATTTATTGTGACAATCAATGAAATTGATATCAAATGAGATTTGAAAAAATAATAGAATTGATCTTGTTCTATTTATTATAATGACAATTAAAGAAATTGATGTCAAAAGGGATTTTTAAAAATATTTGTTAGTAATGATCATGTGTGATATACTAGTACACTGGTATTTCCAGACTTGGTAATACTGTAGATTTTTTTCATGTGATTACTTCATGTTTGAAATCCAATGACTACAAGGAGTGTATTTTTCACCATGCATTAGTGAAAATAATTCATCATGATTATCAATTAGATTGATATCAAAAGGGCTTTGAAAATTATGTATTTTTGTAGAAGATATATTTTTATAAATGTTTTAATGTATAATTATCAGGAATATGATACACACTAGTTTGAGAATGCATGTATGTCACATGAACTGTAAATGTATGCTGTGATTTTCCACAATAAGCCCATGCCTGATGATAATCCCACCTCCTGACTTTGAATCAGAGTAAATGTGTTGTTCCCATTGGGGTCCATAGATAGAGGATAGTAGGGGATAGTTTGTAATTGATTTACCTGTTACATCTTTGACAACAAAACTATGCAATGTATTACATTTAGGTACTATGCACATTTTGTGGAGAAAAATCATCGTACAGTCAAACTTCGGTATTTCGAACGTCAATATTTCAAATTTCTCGGTATTTCAAATTTTTTAAAAAGTCCCGAAATTTTTAACTATATAACTATAGTAATTTTACCATACTTATTTCGAACTTTTATATATCAAATTTCTCGCTATTTCGAGCTTTTTTCTAGTCCAATTGCAATAAAAACATAGGAACAAACACATTTTATTTCTAAGTTTTGAAAATTAACCTGTATTTATATTTAGAGTTGAGAAAATGTATTTTACATGTATAGATTTGTTTGACAATAAGCCAAAATATGGTTTATTTGTAAAACGGCCAGCAAGATTTATTTCATTTCATTCACAAGTTGTGTGAGCTACTCCATGTCACAGGTTGTGTGGGCTACTCTTTGTCACAGGCTGTGTGGGTTACTCCATGTCACAGGTTGTGTGGTTTATCCCATGTCACAAATTGTGTGGGCTACTCTAAGCCCCTCCAACCCCACCCACAGCTTATTTCGAGATACATTGTCAGTTTTAATTTAGTATATAATAGTGATGGGAAGTAGATTAAAACCCACAACTGTTTATTGCCTAAAATTGGATAGGCTTTTAGGGTTGTTATTGTTTCAATTTCTGAATATGTGAAATTTGAAATATTTTTACCCAGTTGCACATATACAAAGCTCTGAACTCAAACCAAATTTCTAAAGCTGTTATAATTTATAAACAGATTGGAATGATAGATATAAGTCCAAATACAGTCTTTACATGTTATAAAATCCAAGTGAGACTGATAACATGTACTTTATGCAGTACAGTATTCTGTATTTTGTTGGTGACTGATATCAGAGTTTTTCAAAAGAATTTCATGAAATATTTTTGATTTGTTGTGCTTTTCTATTACTTGAAATATATAAAGATTGATTTTTTAAAAATGAAAATTTAAAAAAGAGAACTAGTACAATGGAAAATTGTAAGAATCTGTATGAGAAGTTGTAGAGTATTTTTCTGTAATTGAGTGTATAATGAAATGTATGTGGTACATGACACTTACGGTTTGTTTAAGTTTTGATTGCATTAATGATCCTTTTGATAAATATCACAAAGTCTGGCATTGGAGTGTATCTTGTACAACATAGTGATCCTTAATTTGACTTCAGACAACAGTTAAATTACTTTGCTTTGAATTTATAAAGGATCATTCATCAATTTTTTTTATTCTGAATTTGCTGCAATAGAATGACCTTTCAAGCAAAGTAATCAAATCAATTTTCAAATACCTTTCAAAAGTATACAGGACTGATGACTTTTGGCATAAAATATTAATCTATTTTTTCCTTTCACTTTGATGAAGCTGAACACTTTTTTTTCTGTACACATGTACTTTGTTTATCAATACTTGGTGATTGATAAAGATGTTAATAATACTGGAAGTTGCTTATCCATGAAACATTCCAATGTTTAACACAAAACATGTATTTTATGAAAACAGAGTGGTTAATGAAGATATCATATATGAATTCTGTTTGGACTTGTTCTGTTTTAATCATGTAAAGTGAGGTAACTAGCTCATTTCAAATTTACTTCCGTCGAAGTTTGGTTTGGATACATGACTAGTTATGGAATCTGGAATCCTTGAGGCTTTTTGAGGATACATTTCAATGTTATCATCACAGGCAATGTTAGATATTTGAATTTTATTCCTGGAGGACACATTTAGTCATGGGGAGCTTACTTAATGCACATGACTTGTATTCTAACATTACATCATAATGCTTCATTTTATCAATCCCTGATTCTGGTGATTTAGTTTCGAGGAGTTGCCCAGAACATCTTCACACATCATGAGATGTGGGACCAATCAGAAAAACAAAATGACTGACAGGCAGTCATCTTTGAATTTGTGAAATCAACATTGTTACTGCTATTGGGAAGTACTGGAGGGATTTTTCAAATATCATATTTAGGTTCCCCTTGATAACTTATTGTCCCCTTTGATTTTTGGACTGATCAGAAACACAAAATAACTGACATGTTAGGTTTCTAAAATATAACTGTTTTTTATGCTAAGAGCATTTTCAATGCTCTTCAGCATGTTGCTATCGCCCCTGAGGCTGAGTATCAGTACTTCGTTTTCATTGGTTCATAAATCGAAAGTTTACTCCTACTCCATCTGCCGGACATTACCGTAATCATTGGATTATCGCCCCTACAAGTTGCTGATGCTACTCATTAAATGAAACAACCTTATCGACATTTTCTTCATTACCTGTACATCAAGAAATGTTTTGTGTTGTGTATTAATGATAATCAGACATCGAAATTTGTAAATACAATGACAAAGACTCACGTTTATGGTGGTAAATTTTGCGAGGCGATGCCAATATGGCGGCTTAACTTTCTTTTCCGCGCGATGCATTGTGGGAGTCATATACTTTCTATTTTTCTTTTTTCGAAAATTTACTTCCCGTTTAATACTGTTGATAACTATTAAAAATACTTATATATGTAGTTGAAAATAAAAATGAAACTAAAATAAGAATGATTTAGAGTAGCATAAA